CAACTAGGACTTTTCCCCCCATGTGATCAGCTATTTTGTTCTCAAAAGAATGAGTGGCATGACTGTGGATGGTATTCTGGTGAGGTACTAAGCTGGGTGTCATGTTTTGGATGGCAGGAAAACCCACCCCTACAGTCTTCCTCCCTTGTTGGAGTATTTTTCAAAATAAATTGCTTATCACTACACTGATACACTAGTTTAGCACTAGAGCAACCACTCAGAGGTAGCACCCTGGCTTCCCTGTCCCACTTCCTCCAGGCACTGCATCTGACTGGGCACCCTCCATAGGAGGTGAAGCTGGAAAGTGCTGAACACCTGTTCATCTAAAGGACAAACTGGGGTGAACTGCCAAATTGGTGGTTTGTGGCCATCTCTATTTAGCACTAGATCACCTCTGCAGGGACAAAAAGAAAAGAGAGAGAGAAAAAAGAGAGATACAGTGGACCCTTGACTTACAGACGGCTTGACTTACAGACTTTTTGAGTTACAGACTTCTCTGGCCGCAAAATTTAGGTTTGACTTGCAGACTGAGATTTGACTTACAGACCAGAAAAAAACCAAAATGGAACAAAAACGGCCTGTTACGGGATTAATCGGTTTTCAATGCACTGTAGGTCAATGGAACCGCCTTCCAATACGGATTAAGTTCTCAAGTCAAGACCCCACTGTAAAAATCAATGTGAAATAGAAACAACTTCTGACAAATCACTGCAGACTATTATGTTTCCATGGTACCTGTTCACCTATTTGTACATTGTGGAGAACTTTGGAAACTGTCCCTTTTCCCTAGCGCCATGCAACATGTATCTCCCTGCAGTATATCACAGAAGTGAGTACACCCCCTCACATTTCATAAATATTTTAGTCTATTTTTTCATGTGACAACACTGAAGAAATGACATTTGGCTACAATGTAAAGCAGTGAGTATACAGCTTAAATGTGCTGTGTAAATGTGCTGTGCCCTCAAAATAATGCAACACACAGCCATTAATGTCTAAACCGCTGGCAACAAAAGTGAGTACACCCCTAAGTCACAATGTCCAAATTGCGCCCAAGTAGCTGTTTTCCCTCCCTGGTGTCACGAGACCCCTTAGTGTCACAAGTCTTAGGTGTGAAGGGAGAGAAGGTGTTATTGCTCTCACTCTCTCAGACTGGTCACTGAAAGTTCCACATGGCACCTCATGGTAATGAACTACGTATCTGAGGATCTGAAAAAACAAATTTAACACTGGCCAGTCTTGGAGGATGTGATTCATATTTCCTTATCAACAGAAATAAGACTGCAGAGGCTACACACCGTCTGTACCCACAGGATGCTATTCCTTCAGACTCATATCTGAGCCATGAAAAGGGTGCTTGTTTCTTGGTTATCCTGTGTCCACCCAAACAGTTCGTGAACAAACAGTTCCTCACAGGCCTTTGTCCTTACACTGTAGCAGATCTTTCTCTGAACTGCTATTTAGTCAGTTAGGACAAAAGTTTGTTTCAACTGAAATTGAAAGCAAATTTACTGGGATTGAAACTTGATTTGCAGACTCTTCTAACTTTGACAATTCGACAATGTTTCCACATAACTTTAATACTAATTTCTTTCCATCCTATGAAGAATTAAACCAGGCAAGTCTGACACTCTGACATGAGACATTCCTTCAAGCTATATAAAGGGAGAAGATATGCTCAGGGGCACTACCAGCTCTGTAAAACACATAGCATCTTACACTTCCCTGTATCAACTTTCACCTAACAGAAACCATTTCATCAGGCTACAGCAGAGGGAGTGAAGGCAAAATGGGCCTTTCCTTTACCCTGGTAAGAGACCAGCTACTTCTAGTACCTGCTTTATCTGAACTGTCTGCTCTTCAACTACCGTATTTTTCGCGCCATAAAACGCACTTTCCCCCCACAAAACAGGGGGGTGGAAAGTCTGTGTGTCTTATTTGCTTTATTTGAACTGTCTGCTCTTCAACTAGTTGTTCTAGGAATCTTGTAACTCAGAGGCTGGTTACATGGACATTTAGCCCACTGTTTGGTTAACTGCATAGATGGGTGGTTTGCTCCTAAAGATAGTGATCAGACATTGTCTTTGCTGAAGTAAACCAGCTCATCCCTAGATGCGGATCTACCCATATCTTTCTGGCCCATCAAGAGCTTCTACTTTTTTTTGGTATGTGTACAATCAATCTTTTTTGGTCAATTTTCAATGTGTGTGATTACTAGGAATGAGCCAAAAACCTTCTGTTTTTTTTTATTTGTCAATAGTTGGAGTGCCTTGATAGTGATACTTTTGGATATTGGCTAATTAAATATTTGTGCTTCTTGGCAGGGGGCAGAGGAAGTGAATTCTTTTTCAGCCTCCATTAGTGCAGCAAAAATGTACTGCATCACTTATAAAAACAATTAAAATTTATTTCTTTTCCTTGTCTTAAAGGGTAGGTTCAGAAACTGCCCACAGCTGAACTGGATACTGGCTAATTAAATATTTCTTGTGCTTCTTGGCAGGGGGCAGAGGAAATGAATTCTTTTTCAGCCTCCATTAGTGCAGCAAAAATGTACTGCATCACTTATAAAAACAATTAAAATTTATTTCTTTTCCTTGTCTTAAAGGGTAGGTTCAGAAACTGCCCACAGCTGAATCCACCACCAGAGCAGCTTCTGGACGGGCACTTTGAAACAGGGGAAATAAGTGTATGTGTATATAAAGTTGCAGCAGGCTCTTAAGCAGACCTGTAAGTGTAAAACACTTCACTTAAAGATCACTTGTAACGGACATACCTAATACATATACGTACATTTTTTTTAAAAAAATAGACCAGACAGGGTTGCTTGAGGTCCAGACACCATTTGGATGTGACGATTGCACCAAATGACATACCAGAAGACTCCCTAGTGGCCCTATTTAGCCTGCTGCAGACTAGTCATGCAGACAAGCCTTAATATCTAGTGCCAATGTTTCCTTCCTTTCACCCACCCCTTTTCTCTTTAGGAAGATGGTCTGAAAAGGCATTGATCTTGATATCACCCAAAAGCAAGTACAATCTTAGGCAACTTCAAAGACTAAGAGAGTAGGGCCTGATACATATGGCAATGTTGAAGTAAAACAGTCATAGATACACCTCTCCCTGTACACAAGTGATGAGTAACTTGTGACTTTCCAAATGCTGATGGACCACAACTCCTTTATCAGTAATTACACTGGCGCAAGTTTAAAGTATGCCCCAAGGGAGGGGGGCTGCCCCTCTTCAGTACACAGGTATAGCCCTCCCAACTGAAATTCATCTGGCACCGACGTTGATGACATTTCGGCGCCAGGTCAAAACCTTCCTGTTCCAGAACGCTTTTAATTGAAATAACATCAACTGTGGGTCTTGATGATGGCAATTTTAGTCGTATTTTAATCGTATTTTTATTGTATTTTACTGTAATCATTTTATATTTTATTGTATTGAATTTTAATTGTTGTAAGCCGCCCAGAGACCTTTGGGTAGAGTGGGCGGCATATAAATTAAATAAATCTGTTCTGGTGGAAGGCACAGAAAACCTGGGATTGACAGAGTGCCTCCATCTCAGAATTCTGAGACAGAACTAGTCCATGTTGTTTGGAAAGGAGCCTTTATAGAGTGAGGGAAATATTTTGAAGTGGAAACAGGGTGTTTTTGATCTTTTAAAAAAACACAGAGGCTTCTGTTTTTCCATTGGGATTTGATGAGCAGCATCGCTAAACAGCAATTTCAATTGCCGGGAAAATAATCTAGACTCATAATATGTTTCCGTGTTTTTTGTATCTGACAGTGGAGCCTGCATTATTTTGGAGTTCGGAAAGTTTGTAAGAAACTGCAGAGGGAGAAAGGAGCCTCCCAACAATTCATTTGCTGAATTCAACAAGACTTGTTCCAAGTGGAAGAAGGAGGCTGGGTCTGTGTTTGTATCCTGCTAATAGCCCTCCCTTCCTTCAGGCTAATGCCCAAGCAAGAGATTTCTGTGTGGTAAGCCCGAGAGCAGAAACTTTACAATTTGTGACTCTTGCTAAGTTTATCTGAGAGGCTTTGCTTGATGCTGGTTAGGCATTTTGGAGACCAGTCATTCACCAGGCTGCCATGAGCTGGAGGCAAATTCATGGCACATAGCAATAGCACAAATCAAAACCCTGCAAGTTAACTAATAAATCCACATGGGCAATCGGCTCTTGACACATTGAGGTCAGTTTAAAAGTTGCTTCCTAACAGCCAACCTATAGAAAAAAAATATCTACAAAACCACACAAGTCAAATACTGTATCTAAAAATTGCCTGTGCCCATATTTTGAACCAGTTAATTGTGCCCAAGCTACAGGAAGCTTCTGACAACAAGGTCATCACATCTAGAGCCTTCCTTGGTTCAAGCCTACTTTGCCAAACGTACAAAACAAATTTTTAAACATACAAGTGACCAAGATCAAACCCTCATGGCAAACAGAATGAGAACACCCGTGATTTGATTCTCTTCCCTAAAGCCAGCAAATGGCCTTTGGCAAACCAGCTTTTCACTAAGCACCCCCTCCAGAGGCAACAAGGAGGCAACAATCATCATCACCATCCCTGAGCTATAGGTGCACGTGCTTTGCGCACTCCCAGGCGCAGAGGGGAGGAGAGGCTACGTCTCCACAGCCCAAGTACTGGGGCCGGGTGGTCTTTTTTTCAAAGCTCCGCCAAAGGGCCTAGCAAAGCAAGAGGGGGCTGTGTGCCAGGAGGCATCCATCGCACAAATGCACACACACACACACACCCTAAGTCGGACGGCAAGGCAGAGATACCCAGCAGCGCCGCCGCACTATCCGCGCCACCCGCAAAGGCTGCAGCCAGCCCTTCCCAGGATTGGCCAAGAATGCGGGTTTGTACCGCAAAACCCCACTGTGCTAGACAATTGCATTCGGGGTTTTTTTGTGTGCGTGTGTGTGTGTGTGCTTCCCGAGGGTGGCACCGCGCCAGCCCCCGCGCCACCAGCCCGGCCCGGCCCGACTCACAATTCCACCATCCACTGGCCCTGCAGCAGGAGGCTCCAGTTGGAACCGCTCAGCTCCCTCACTCGGTTCTCCCCCGGCTCCGAGGCCGTGGCCACAGACGCCCAGGCGACCACAGCGGTCCCGCACAGCATCAGCAGCGGCGCGGTCCCCCTCTCCCTCCTCCTCCTCTCCCGGCACCCGCAGGGAGCGTCGCCGCCGGCCTCGCTTGGAAAAAGAGCTCCCGCCGCCATCTTGCGGAGCTGGGAAATGACACCAAAGAGGCGCTCAAATACGAACACAGCCCCTAGAGGGAGCTTTGCTACCAGGCCACGGCGGCCCTCTCTGCCGGTTCCCATGCGAAGCTCACTTCGTCTGCGGGGATGAGTGGAAGCTACAGGACAGGGAATTCATAACAAAAACTGTAATTTCTGCACTGCTTTTCAACACGGGTGATTTTAAAAAAAAAGTCTCTCTCGTCATTACTTTCTGACGGCAGAGATGGGGAGGTACCTGTGTCTGTGATAAGAAGATAATTTCCCATGTTTATAACATCGATCAAGCTTTTTTTGCAATCTATTGTATTTTTAGTTTACTTATTTTAAACATTGGGAGCCCTCTTGGCTTCCCTCACCAGGAGAAAGGCAGCATATTAAATGAATGAATGAATGAATGAATGAATGAATGAATGAATGAGGCAGCATTTTGATGATTTTCTTAATCCACATATCAGAAGACAGGATGTTCCATGGGGGCTGTTGATATTTTCTTGCCACTGCCACAGTGACCTTTCCTCCTCCAAGGAATTAATAAAACCTTAACATGTGTGAAATTTATTTTTAAGGCAACATTATTAAAAAATAAATATCAATAGTTATTAACTATATTAAAAGTTAAAATAGTTCCTTATTACCTGGTTTTAGAGTAAAAATGGTTGCTACAAATACATTCATTAAATTAATTTGTCACCCACTTACCATATCTAAAAGAATATTGGTAATGTGGATGAAAATTTCTTATTCTTGATAATAATGGCAATAATAATGTTGATTATTGAGCTGGCTTTCCTTTCTTACTGATTGCTGGGCAACACCATTCAAAGTGGCAGTTAAGACTTATAGTGATCTGTATGTATAATTCAAGACTGATTATAACTGACAAGTTGGAATAATAAACACAGTAAAACAATCAAATGAGGCCAGGGAGCAGGGACTGTTGAAATGAAAATGGCAATCCAATTGTATACATGTCCACTCAAAATCACAGCTCACTGAATTCTTTAATTCAATGGGGTTTACCCCAAGAAAGTAAGTAAAGTTGCAATCCTGTGCCCATTTACCAAGGATTAAGTCTCACTGAACAAAATTAGAATTACTTTTCAGTAAAGTTGCTGGCTAGATAGCTCACTAAGTTGGAGTACAGGGTTGAAAATTTGATTTCCCATTACAGTATTCCTCTTGGAGAGCCAGCCTATGTCACCTTCGGCAAGCAACATGATCTCATGCCGCCCCCCAAGAAGATGGGAATGGGAAATCCCAAAGAGTCATCGAAACTCGGGATTAACTGGATGGAGTAGTAGTAGTAGTATAGATGCATGTGACTGTGCTGTAAATCTCCAAACTTACACACGTATCTCACATAAGCGGTATGCGCCAGCAGGATTTCTGCCCATCTCAAGCCTTGCAAAACAGTAAGAGCTTTGTCTCCCCCTCTGCAACAATTTAGTTATTTAATGTTGTGCAGCTTGGTTATAGGAAAAGAGTCAGAAAGGAAATGAAAGGACAATTTAATCCAACCTCTTTCTAAAGCCAAAGGGAGACTGCAGCTAAGAAATCAGGAAAACTGAAGGGCAAGCATGAAGGAAGTGGGAAAGATCCTCAGATCGCTGGATAATAACGAAAGTGGACAGGGGAAAAATTTATTTACTTGAAATATGACGTTGGAAGAAAACTTTCTGGATACGAGTTGCTAGAAATGCAAATAAGTGTAGGGTATTTTATTTATTTATTTATTTATTTATTTGATTTATACCCCGCCTATCTGGTCCGAAAGGTAGATCAAATCAAGCCTGAACTGGTCATAGGAGGCAGTTGTACTTAGCTTACACACCAAAAGAGAACAAGATTCATGTGAAGAGACAATAATGCTAGGAAAAACTGAAGGTGGTGGGACAAGAGGAAGACCATATAGATTGATTGACTTAATAAAGGAAACCATGGGCGTGAGTTTCCAAGACCTGGAATCTAAATGGCAGGACCTTTTGGAAGTCACTCATTCTTAATGCACTAAGAAATTGTTTGAATTCCCTGCTTGGCCATGGAAACCCATGGGTGTGTGTGTGTGTTTAAACTGGTAAAACCACTTCTGAAATACAGTACAGTATTTCTCTTCCCTAGAAAGCCCTATTGAGGCCGCTATAGGTTGGTTCCAACTTGAGGGTTCATAACATACACAATTCATAAGGTCGGCAAACGTCAGAAGTGAATGAATGACACAAAACAACACTCTGACTTGCCTAGAAAAGAGGATCTAATGTTGAACTACTTTGAATACCCTCCTTGCCCCGCACATGGCGGATCCTACCGATTTCACTCAAGTACCAGACATCCTATTTGGGGATCATCACTACTCCAATGTACAGAGACAAGTGACAGGCAAGGAGGCGCTGCTGCGAAGCAAAGGCTTGGATCGCGCTCGAGGCTGCAGTTACCGTATTATTGTTACCGGTCGAAGGTCGGTTCCTTTCGGCATCCCGAAGAGTTCTGAGATGCTTATTCTCCAAGGACCCCCAAGGTCTGCCAAGAGTTACCCGAATTTTGGGGCACTTATCCCTATAATTTTGCGCTACCCTCGGGTCTCCTTTGCATTGCTCCGGCACCGTCAATGGGCAGATAAAATAATAACAATGCTCACTGCGGAGAGGCTGACAGAAAGGGTGGGGAAAATTGGACTGTAAATCTTTGCACTTTCCTGATATTTAGAGCCATTTAAAACGCGGGCTGCCTTCCAAGTAAATATCAAATTAATATTATTTTAAATGGCTCTAAATATTTATTTGCAAGCATTACTTTTTCAGGTGGAGAAAGCAAGGATATTGTGATCTAGAAGAATGACTTGCAGTTCTTCAGGGCTACTCTAGTATCAGATAAACTGAGGCAACTGCCTCGGGTGGAAAATGCTGGGAATGGGTCGGCCACGAGGCAACCCATTGCTACCCTGGCTTGTCAGTAACCCTAAACTGGTGGGTTACTTACTACCCTATTAGTGGACAGAACGTGTGTGTGTCAAAGAGACTGAACAGCATCCTCTTTCCTCCTGCCCTTATGGTGTGACAAGGTATCATCCTAAGTGTTAACATAAAATTCATCACTCCCCATCACTTTAACAAAGGTGACAGAAGCTTGTCTTTCCCATCAAACATCAAATTGGCTTGGGGTGGCCCTGCAGGCCTGTTTCAGTACATTTGAGATGTGTACTTCACTTTAAGCTTAATCATACTATATCACAATATTTTCACAACAGCTTCTTAGGCATCAGTGCATCGAAGCATGACAAAGCAATGGCAGCAACTTTATTTAAATATGTGTAAATGATTGCAGAAGGTACAGTAGGTGGAACTGCAGACATTTTGTTGGTGAGGATTTTTCAACGGGGTGTATGAAGGAAGATATTTTAAGATATTGTTGATATTTTATTTCCTTGGCCCCTCCTTGTCCTTATTGTTGTGTGATTAAAGTGTAAAAATGGAACTTTCCTGATGGCCAGTTCTCTTGCTCCTCAGATTCATATACAGGCAACAGTTACATAGAGTCTACCTACATCTGAGTTATGAAACGCCAGGCCAAGTCATTTTCCTGCTTAACAGATGGGGGGAAATGGCACCCCATCTCTGCCCAAGGCAAGCTGCATGCTAACCACAACCAGGAAAATAATTTTAGCACATGAGTCAGAAAACCCACATAACCCCCCCTCGTCTGCTGTAAGTAAAAAAATATAGTAACCACCAATTGCATTGTTAACAATTGAATGCCCTTTGGAATCTGCTGCCTGAGGCAGCTGTCTTACTCTGCCTAGTAATAAGGTAGGCTGTGTGGTATTGTATAGAAATGTGCAACGCTAATGCCTCTTCATTTTTGGCAAAGGGCAACAGTCCCGTCCTCTCCTGTACATAATGTTAACCCGTAATAACAATCATGCCAGCCCTTTCCAATGTTTTCTAGATAGAAGTGGTTTACCATTGCCTTCTTCTGGGGGTACCCTGGAACTGTGCAGTTTGACCAAGGCTACACAGGCTGGCTCTTTTCCCAGGACGCACAGTGAGGAATCTATCTCCCCACCTCTAGCTCTGCAGCCAGACACCTATTCCACTGAGCTATCCAGCCAGCATACCTAATGTTAGAACCCCTTAATTGGCAAAGCTCCCATCTATATCTAGCTACAGCGTTTATAGATCTTTGGACAAATTAAAATGAAAACAGTTTCTGCCGTGCCATGTCGGCATCCTGTTTAACTGTCTTTTAGCCTGTGTTGGATGCAGTGGTGCTGATAATAGCTCTGCTTTGAAAAAAATATTATCACTCACATTATGTGCAGGCACATGGAAGCATGTTAAATGGCCTCCTACTAGCAACACTCTGAAGTTTCCTCCTTTCAAATCCATGAAAACATGGTGTGTAGTGGTATCCAAGACAGGATGTATGGTTTTTCACATAATTAATAACCATGTTGTTATAATTTTCAGACATAAATAGACTTACTATTTTTGCTCACACTTATTCCCAGCAGTACTACTACAGTATTTAAGCTCCTGAAAACTTATTGTAAATGGCAAATATCGTAACACAACCCCTGTAATCATATCAGCATCTTTTTTGGGGAAAGTGGGTTTTCAGTTTCCACCATGGTGGGATCTGAGTTCTTTGAGAGTGTGAGTGATGGGACAGAAGAAACCAAAGGTGGACAAGTAGCACATTAAAAGAGAGATAAAATTTCTCCACCTAAACTGCTCTCAAAGGCAAACACATATCACAGTTACTCTTGTGGATTATTTCTTATTCTCTCTCCTTTGACATCTCTCAATTAATTTCACACTGAGAACTATGGTACATGTTCAGCAAACACATAGGGTCTAGCTCTCCTCTCAGTACCGTATATGATCCCAGCATACAGATACGTGGTGGGAGTATGTGTTTCACTTGGGAACCCTCTCAGACATATGAAGGCCAGCTGAAAAGTTTTGCCTGTTGACTCATA